GTACAACAAAAACTTATAAGGCTGCCTATTTATCTGTGAATTGTGTGTCTAAACTAAAGTGAGAGTAAATTAAAAAAAAAAAAAAGAGAAATTAGCTTGAATAACCTATATTTTTTTTTAAATAGTTAGATTAACTTTACTATTTTTTTTATTGTTGAAATAACATATTCTAGATTTTTTTTATTTCATAATACCAAAATTGTCCTTCGCAGACTCTGCCGAAATATTGGCAGACTCTGCCGATATATTGGCAGACTCTACCGATGTATTGGCAGACTCTGCCAATATCTAAAAATACACAGACTCTGCCAAAACATTGGCAGACTTTGCCAATATCTAAAAATACGCAGACTCCGCCGAGGTATTGGCAGAATCTGCCGACACATTAGCAGACTCCACCGAGGTATTGGCAGACTTTGCCGAGGTATTTGCAGACTCTGCCGAATCATTGGCAGATTCTGCGGAAACATTGATAGACTCTACCGATGTATTGGTAGACTCTGCGAAAACATTGGTAGACTATACCGATGTATTGGCAGACTCTGCCAATATCTAGAAATACGCAGATTCTGCCAAAACATTAGCAGAGTCTACCAATGTTCGGCAGAGTCTGCCAAGGACAATTTTGGTATTATGAAAGGAAAAAAATCTAGAATAGGTTATTTTAGCAATAAAAAAATGATAAAGTTATTCTAGCTATTTTAAAAAAAAAGGTAGGTTATTCTAGGTAAATTAATAAAGAAAATATTAAAGTTAAAAAGCAGTGGAGAATTTTGGAAGATAAAAAAGAAATTGACGCCAAAAAAGAAATTGTACTCGATACAGTAAATAAAGCAAAAGAACAATGGTTGGATAGTGCTTTTTTGTTCCTTGTGATATGAATGTGTACAAATTATCTTTACCAAACAAATGTATATACAAATTTTTGTTGAAATTTAAATTATATACATTATGAATTTGATTGGTAAGTCGTCAAATATAAAAGAAGGCCCGCACTCTCCATCTTTTGGACACGTGGCTGACCCTTTCTATCTGACACGTCACCCTTTTTAACAAAACGCAGCAGTTCTCAGCTTCACCTTCAGTTCATATTATTCAAATCACAGCAGCTCCAGTTCTACAAGATGCCTCATTCAGCCAGGTCATTTACTAGCGTTCGAGTAATCGTTACATCTACGATTATAGTTTAATGCTGCTGCTCCAGTTAAAGCTGTTCAGGCTGAGGTACCTATACTTGCATGATTGATTCTTGTTGAAATCTAAATTTATATGCTCCTAATGTAGATTAGACCATTAAGTATAGAACATAATAAAGTGGGATCATTATAGTATTGGACAATGCTTTGACAATCTTGTATTAGGGACTCTTGACTTGAGTTTGGTTGACTAACATGGTTTATAAACATGAGGAATTTGGTCTGGAAATGTTCTGTGCGTTGACTTATTGTCTTTAAATTGTCAACACGAACCTTTAGATGTTGAAGATGACGATGATATTGGTGAAGATAACGAGTAGGAAAAGAAAGCCGCCGAGGAGAAGGAGGCTGGTAAGAAGCACACCAAAAAGCATAAAGACAGTAAGTCTCTAATTGTTATGCAGTTTGTTAGATTAGATTGGGTAGTGTTGAGATAAATAAAGTCACTATATTCTGCTGGAATGTTATATGGACAAGAATGTCTTGTAATTAGCCTGTGAATGAGTAATTGCATCTTGAATTCTTATTGTATATGAGTAACATAACTCGCAAAAGAACCATACCAAATGTGTTGACAAAGGAGTATAATATTCTTAACATCTTGCTTTACTTTGGTCTTTGTAAACACAGATTTTCGTGCCTCCCTATGGATACAAAAACACATAATTTCTATTTTCAAGTCTTCAGAGACAATGTTTTTAAACTGCTATTTTATACATGTATTCGAAGATGGATGTAATATGATTCAAGAGGCAGCCAGAGGCACACATCTCTTCCATAGAGGTACGTGAATGGTAAGCTCTTTTATTCCTTTAAGTTCGGTTAACTAGACTCCCATGCAAATTGCTTACTACCTCAATCCTAGATAACGGCTCCCTTTAGGGCAACGACGCTATTACAAATAAGGGTGAAGACCACTTACATAAATTATTTTTTTGCTACCTCCTTTGTTGTCCAAGGATTTTTCTATAACTTCTATGGATTCTTCTTCACTTTATCATTTGGCCTGAATTCCTGGGCTGATGATATCATGTCCATAGTATTATTATTATCCTCTTTGACACCACTTTTGGAATAAGACAAAAGTTGTAACTCATGGAGAAGTTTTGGTTGACTAATTGCATTTTTATTTCTCTTAACATGGTCCAGCTTCAATGTTTTCTTCAAACTCAAATAATATTGCTTCGGCAAGAGCAGGTTATGGCCTTTGCCCGAGGAGTTGTTGCTCTGAGTTTCGTATCTACTTGAACGGATATAATTAAAAGACATGAAGAAGTAGGGGTAGAGCGATGCTAGGCAGAGGAAAGAGAAGATATGGTTGGAGAACTTTGAGGTTCAAACTTGGTTTATTTGAGAAGAAAGTGTGTTCAAATACTTTCTTTCATTTTTTTAAGACTAAATTGTATTATGATAGTGTAGAGATCAAATTATACTACTTTGAATTGATTGTTAGTAGTATTTGAGAGTACAATTTGCATTACGAAATTGATATAGTAACTTCGCAAAAATAATTGATTCTCGGTTTGGAATAAGGTTAAAGAAAATTTCTAGTGATAAAATAATAAAATAAGCTGTTTTACAATTTTCTACTAAATTTTACATGATAAAACTTTTTATTCTGACTGATTAAATTAAATCTATTTTTGTTAGATAATTATACTATTTAGTTCTGTAGATTAATCAAATGTATCAACATAGTTATTCAAAATTAGTACTAGAGATGTGTTCTATGTGGGAAAAAGTACAATTGTGTTTGAATTTTTGTTAGAGTTTGGTTAGATGGGGGATCTAATAATGTCTAAAGGTTATGATATCACATCATATGCTGTTATATGATTATTTTCTTACTGACCAGTTTTACGCAAATTTATAAAGGAAAAATTTGCTATTAATACAACAAAAAAATTATAATTTACAAACTAACTAAAATCCCTAAATCCAAAGACCTAGATTGTGTCACATACCCCTTTTTCCCAACTTTTTAATTTTTTTTTTTTGGTTATTCACCAAAAAAGCTCTTTAGTAAATAATGTTTTTGTTTTGTTTTGTCATCTGATGATATATTATAATGATTGGATAGAAATCCTTAAACGAACTACAAATGCTGACGGCATACAAAGAAAGCCTCAGAGACTAAGCTGACGGATCCCCAGATCCCCCGAGTCAAAGCCAAAGACTACAGATTATTCCAAAAACACACAAATTAAAACATAAAGGGGGTGAAATCCCTAGCATGAGATCAAAAGAACCACAACTAACGATCAAGCCTAATCCAAACAGACTTTGCCCACAAGACTAACTATAAAATGCGAGAACAATCGCGAAAGCATATCGATAGGGCTAAGAAACCCCAACACACGAAATGCATCTCCTTCCATAGCGAATAAGTATACCTAACCAATTTGAGATACATAGGAGACTATTCCGGCAAGAAAGAAGAACCCAACCGGATCTTCAAACAAAACTCTCGGAATTGGCGATGACTAGAGAACCCCACCTTGATGACGCATAGATAGAAATCCTTTGAATAGACAAGATCCCGATCAAATCTAAATTGTAGAGACAAAAAGCGAACTTTCTCTAACCGAACAATACCAAAACTCGGACCCCGAGTGGTACCCAATCGGATTCGGCAAAGAGCGAAAGAACTCACAACAACTACACTAATCAAGTTGGCAAAGCTGCAAAAACCAGACCCAAAAGAAAGAGCCATTGATTCAAACCAAAGGACCACAAACCAACCAACAGGACAAACTTCGGATCAAGAGAACGAACCATGGTAATACGAAGGTAAGATCAAGACAAAGCCTCAACCCGTACACAACCGACCAACCGAAAGCTAGCTCCGACAAAGGCAGATGGCGAGGAGAAAACCTTGTACGAATCCCAGACCAGCACCTAATGAGGGAACCACGAGACTGACCCAAACGAACAGCCATGCATATGACCACTATCACCACCTCAACCACATGCTCCAACCAAAGCACACACAATCCTAAACTCCGAA